TAGGGAGAGGCAGCTGGGCGTCCTGACACATGCTACCAACCTGCACTGCTCCCTGTCACCTCCACTTCTTGCTCACCTCTACTTCTTGCTCTGCCCTTCACATCCCAGACAGGTTTCAGGTAGCTCTTTTAACCCTTACATTCCTGTTAGGATCTTGGCTCTGAAATGGTGGGGGCCACAAGGGAGAGACCGTCCCCACAGAGAGAGGGCAAGGGGGCCTGGAGCAGGATGCCTACCAGCATGTAGGGGCTCCCGCTATTCACCTGCCCAGGGTCTAACTCCATACATGTGCTGCTGCTTGCCCTTCTGCGCTCCCTCCTAGGTGTTACTAATTATCCCAACCTCACGGATCCTTCATGAACCTCCTCAGCTTGGACCCTAATGTGTCCCCACCACACAGCTCTGCCTTCTCCACATTATGTCAACACCACTCTTCCCCCTGCTGCCCGAGGACATGTCTGCCTCCTCACTGGGGACACCAGCATCTCCCTTCCAGTCATGCAGTCTCCGCACCCAGTGAGCTGCTTCCTGTTGACCACAGAGGCGCTCAGTCTACGGTGTCCCTCTGACCCACACTCCTCCTTTACTCTGTGCCTCTCCCAGACTTGGGATTGGGATCTCAGTTGCTTTCTTCCCACAAATCTCCCACAACCAAAGCCATGTTCCTTCTCCTGTGCCTGTCACACCTCCCTTCTCCCAAAATGTACAAGATCGTTGCACTGACCAGATGTCAGACCTAGTCCCTAACTGGACAAGTGCATACTTTGTGAAACTCATCACTATCCCATACTGACCCGTTAATCCCGGCAGCAGCAGCAGCTCTAATACAACATTATTTTGTGTATAGCACATGGCATCTGCACTCAAGGAACCTTTCCACAAGAGACACTGGATTTTAATTCACCAACTCCAATTTTCCTGATTCCCTGGGTGAGGGATAGTTGTCCTTTCCCTGGCCTTCTGTTGGAAACTATTCTGAGGTTTTACATTTGTATCAGGGACCCTAAACATTCACTGAATATATCAGTGTCTATGTTATTGTAGCAAATGAGAAATTCTCCCCATAGACGAAGGGCAGGGGACCACCCCAAGCTAGCTCATAGTTTCTGGTGGGTGACAGAGGGCTACTGTGCATTTCTCAACTTGGCTCCTCTCCACTAGCCAGATTCTAGTGCTTCTCACTTAGTTCTTCATAATGAAACTCACCAGGTTCTGAATGCCTTTCCTCACCTATCGCCCAGATGCACTTTGTTTATCCTCACCAAGAGCTGCTGCTTCCTCACCATTACTAGACACTGCTCACTCATGCACATCCCAATCTCAAGAGATAATGAAGCATGGAGGGGATCATGAAAAAATATGATTGTGAATGGGGTGTGGTGGAAATACAGACTAAGATCAAGCAGCTTTCTAAAAGGCAGCCATAACTAAGGGAATTATTCAGTGATAACTAATATAAACAGAAAAAGAAAAAAGCAAGAACTGGTTAGTCAGTAGCAGCACTGTTAACTCCAGCCAGTCACGCAGCAAAGCCATTCAGCCCGCTACTGCAGTTGTGTGCTAACTCAGAAAAAAGTGCTGGTCTTTGCTGTCATCGATTCCCAGCTGTACATTTCATCATTTTTCAAGCAGTACCAAGGATTTTGAAATCACATTCCCCTGGTGGGGGATGATGGTGGGCTCCACAGCAAGGGAAAGGAACTCTGGCACAGACTTCAAACTACAAAAATCATTACTGGCCCTCATTCACTATTCACCAGTTTGTGCCTTCTTCTTGCTTTCACGGGGGTCTCTTTTCCCACTTTTTCTCCCCCAACCACCTCTGTACCCATGCAAGGGCACCACTGGCAAAAATTCATTTGTTCACTTTAGTAAAGTTCCGAGTATATGCTCAGCCTTGGGCCTGATGGTGAGGATCTCAATGCTAAGAGCACTACTGTCCTCTGCTTCTGGAAGCCTGGAGAGAATTGCTTTTGAAGAAACTTAAGTCTCAACCTGACTCGGATTCCAAGGAAATGAACCTGCTCTGAAACCTATTCAAGTGACTTAGGCAGATGC